AATTGTTATGGATTATCCTGCTCCAGAACACCCAAGTTTTGAAAAAAAGTATAAGTCACTCTGTTCCCAGAAAAACCACTAGCTCTCCCATGGCCTTGCAGGTGTAAAAACCAAAATAACATTCCAAACCCCTCGTGGGCAAAATTGTAAGTTCAGTTCCCAACCAATCAGTAAATGACTCATGTATGTTATAGCCAATCAATATGTTGTCATACTCCTGCCTAGTGACCAAAAAGACATAAAAACTGCCTGCTTTGGAAACTCCTGGCCCTTCTCTTCCCAGAGAATGACCCCAACACGTTGGAATAAAATCCTTTTGCTTTTGCATTGAACTTATGTCCTGTAAGTGACTCTGTGGGGTGCATCTCCCGGAGTTGGACTTCACTTTTGTGTCCAACAGGTCCAGAACCCAACCATGTTGAAGACACCAAGGGAGTGGGATCGATCTTTGAGAGAGAAAAACAGAAGATCGGTGGATTCCCACCTATCCCAGGAGTCTAAACAGGACTCCCACCACAGGTGCTGGACACCTGGCACCACAGCTGCAAGTTTCACTAGCAGACATGGCCAGTGGGCTGGGACAGGTCTAGTGACCAAAGAACCCAAAGAACGATGCTGTCGGCTCTGTGTTAATTGCGCAACACCTTGGTCCTTAGAGCCCATGCAGTAACCGAACCAACCAGAAGAGGGCACCAGATACCTGGAAAAACCGCCAGCCAGCTTGGGTTGACCTGTCAGTTAAAGCCTGCATCCAGACTAGAAGGAAATCAAATAGGCAGGGACCAACATGCTGCCCCTGAAGCACTGGCTTGTCTGGTCGCCTTCCCCTAAGGATAAGCAGGTATCTGGTGAGGATGAAGGAGGCTGTTTGGTTGCAGGGAAGAAAACAGAAGTGAAGGATGGTTGTTGAGATACATATCCTATATATGGATCCTTGGGCCTGGGTGGGAGTGGAAAGGGCAACTCAAAAGTCATAAGGGACGTGTCCTGGTACCTGAAAGAGTTCAAGTGACTGTGCCTGAGAACCTATCTCAGCATCACTAGATCAATGGCCGCCAGCTACTTAGAGACCTCAGTATCCCCATGGCCTTTGAGGGAAATATGTGAAGAGGCACAGAAAGCTCTTGTCTCAGACTAGCCTGGGTGGAGTCCTGCTCCACTACATACTGCCATAGGCCCTCTGGAAGGTCACAGCCTTCCTGAGCCTCAGATCTTCCTCCAACATTAAAGTACAATGTCAGAAGCACCGGCTGCCCACCTGCCTGCTAAAGAAACTGAGGAGTCACAAAAGGGACGGGAAAGCAGGGCCTCAAACAGTGTAGGGCTTAGAGCATCTCTGTATCATCAGAAGCCACTGTGAGCATCACGAAGTGTAAGCACCTCTCAGCTGGGGCTGCAACAGAGAGGATGGACTTTGCCTGATCCAGAGTGGTACCCTGACTTGAGGTCCTGGCTGTTGCTCTTTTGATGCTCACCACCTCCTAGAGTTCAAAGTCCCTTTTCCATTCCCGAGGAGCAGGCCTTTCTCTTAGGATTAACAACACAACTGCCCATGTCTACAGCTGCACTACCCCTAATTCACCTGATCTAGAATTAACAGTAGAGGCTCAGGACTCTACTTACTGAACAATTGCTGAGGCCAGACACGGGTGCTGAAGAGCATGACTGTAACCACGTGGTGCTGGGGAACCCTGAAAATCCCCATACACTCACCCTCTCCCCCAAATGCCAGGAGCCCATGTGGCCTATGGTATTGTAGATTGCCTAGGATGTAGCTGACAGCTCACACCACCGCTACTCTCTGGAGCTTTTAGCTCACAAGCCTGGGTCCTAGTAGCCCTAACAAGCCTCTCGTCAATTGGCTATTTAAAGAAACACGTGATCATGAAAGGCAGAAAATAAGATTCACTTCTTGTGGCCACACTGTGGGGGAAGAACAGAGGTTCAATGACCCCTGAAAGCCCATCTTCAGGCACCTTCGTGAGATTTAGGTTTAAGCACTTATAACTAAGCAGTCCAGTCCCTATCAAGGTGGGTGGTCATAGTCTGGGCTCCGGTCTCCCAAAAGGTGGTCTGATCAACTGTTCAAACTGAAATCTCTTCCGAGGAGGTAATGTCCTTCCTCTGGCTGGCACTGGGGTCCCAGCCTTTTGCTTCACCCAGCACGAGATTCCTGGGAAATTCCTATCTCTTGGGGTTTTGTATTAGTGTGATCTCGAGGAGGGCGGGGAGGCACGAGTGTCTAGAATATCTACACTGCTGCCAGGATAGCCACACTGCCAGCTGTTTTCTAATTAGAAGCGCATATAAAGCCCCAGAGTCCCAAGAAATCCAAGAGCAGAAGTGTTCCTGGAGTCAGAAACTTCAATCTACCTTTCTCTACTCTCTTCTGCCTCCCTGACTCCATCTGCTATGGGCAATATCAACACCACCACCCTTGGCCTCAGCCAGTGAGGGGCCAGAAGGGCTTGGTGGGCAAAAGAAAGCCGTAATAGCAACTAGGTATGGATACCCTGTGCCCCACAGCTCTATGACAGCAGCCTCAGGGATACACTGTCCTGTCTCAGAAGCTACACTCTCCTCTGTTTTTATGGTCTTAAGGTGGGTGGCTTTTGCTGTGGCCAGATGAAAGGGGGGTCACCGCCCTTGCTTGGCTTATCTATACCAAACCTTGGTCAGGAGTCCCTAGGCAACACTCCTGCACCATCTCCATCTCGGGCTATAACTGAGATGCACAGACCAAGGCCCCCAGAAGGCAAGCACTGAATGGTCTTGGGCTGTGTCCCACAATGCACTCCCTTCTGTGAGGGCTTGACTCTATCCTGGTCCAAGATGGGTACCAGAAAATGAGAACATCCCAGAGCATCCAGAAGGAAGGCTGAGTCTACCAGACCTCAGACCCGAGCATAAGTGCCCCCACTGGAAAGCCCCTATGGTGGCTCTACTTCCCACTAGGAAACAATGCCTGTCCCCTCCTCCCACTGAACCTACCTCCAGCACCAACCGACCGGCAGTGATGCCCTACCTGCCATATTGTTGCCAGCAGTAATGCCCCTGGATGCTGGCCCATTGGGGTGGCAGGACTTTCCCAGGGTCCAGGGCTCAGCTGGGGTCCCCGTCTTCCCAGCAGTAGCAGCTTAATGGAGAGATGGGGGCTTTCCTGGCCTTAAGTCCCCAGGAGGATTGTGTGGTTGGGTCCCTGCAGGCCTAGGGGTCCTAGGGTCTGTATAGGAAATGGGCTAGGGATCCTGGTGGTGGGAAATCCCAGCATTCCACCCCTACCAAGGGACTCCCCACGCAGAAGCGGAGTGGAACCAAATGACTCAACAGTTCCTAGGCTCTGCAAAACAGTCCCCTGGGCTGGCCAGCAACCAGGGCCAGAGCATCAGGAGCTGAATTAGTTTGTCTGTTTGTTTAATTTAATATTGGGAGGAGAGGGAGGGGGAAGAAAGAAAGGAGGGGGGATGGACAGAAGGGAAGGGGGAACAAAAGGAAAAGAGGAGGGGGGATCAAAATTGAGCACTAAGAAGTTTTGGGATGAGAACTGTTGAATGGGAGTACCAAGCTCGTCGCCTAGTTGTGGCTTAGCATGGCTTCATTTTGAAGTGCAGGGCATTGAAAAGGACAGGGCCACCAGTACACAGAGTGGTGGGACTATGTTCCCCAGTGAAGGTCTCCTGACAAAAGGCAACAGTGTCCCAAGAGTGGGTGGCTTCCCTCTCCCTCCTGGGTGGGCTCCAGGCCACCACCGCGGGGACCGACAGGGCGGGCGCCCTACACAGAAGCCGCAGCCCTGCCCTTCGGGCTGCGTGAGTCACTATGGCTGGCTGCACACCAAATGGCTTCGAGGGAAGCCAGGATGGGAAGGAGGGGCACGGGTAGGGGGACCCTGGGAGATGAGGGAGGCGGAGGGTGAGAGGCTAAAACACTTCACCATCATTAAAAAGGAGTCGGGCTGGGGAAGGTGTCCCTAAATTAAAGCAGGGAGACTAGACAGGAGCTGGTTCCGGCCAGCTGACTGTAACATGTGACCGCCCTCCTGCGGGTGCTGGTTTGGCACTGTGCCCCAGGTCCACCAGCTGTGGTTCTGTCGCCCCCTCTCGGTGTGGAGGAGTGACGGCAGGAGACTGCTTTTATTCTGCACAGGACTGGGTCCCCAAGGCCAGCCTGGGGAGAATCCACCCCTCACCCCACCCCATCCCCATATACTCCCAGGAGGGTCCTGCCACTAAAGGATGTCAATGGGGCCTGGCACTGACCTATCGGCCTGGTAGGGAATGTGGGGGACCGGCCCTGCAAGGTGTCCCAGGCCCTTGTCTCCTGGCGCAGAACAAATGGCAGGCTTTCAGGAAGGACCCAGGGAAGGAGAGAAGAAAGCAATAGGGAAAGGCAAGGCTGCAATTCCAGCCTTCAGGAGGCTGAGGCAGGGGGATCACAAAAGGTACCTACAACAAGAGAAATATTAACCCCTGTGTCTTAAGCCAGGCAGCAGGAAGTTCTGTCTTCACGCCTCTGCTGCCAGGGGACCATTTGTGGAAGAAGCCCCCTTACTTGATAGTTGTGAGCCTGAAGGAACACAAAGATCCACCTTCCTCCTACTCATCTCCATGGAGCGAGCTGTATTCACCTTCACGACAGCAAACCCATCTGACAGTGGCTTACACGAGCTGTTATTTTTGTTCCCTTAGCAAGGGGTTTAGAGGTAGAGGGCCTGCTAAGAAGACAGCTCAGTGGTATCATAGGGCTTCAAACCTGTCTTTCCAAACCAGGATCCTAGAGGGGCCTCTCATTTGTCTCCTCCTGGTTGCCAGACACTTTCCACAGCTCCAGAGCACTCCCCCTATCTAAGTTCCAGGCAAGAAGAAAGGAAAAGGAAGAGAATGGCTAAGAAGTTTCTCTTAGTGAAGGCACACTGTCCCCAGGGGCCTCTCCCTACCCACCATCGCTGTACAGAAATGTATCCCATGAATCCTATTATAAGAGCAATGGAAACACATGGATTTTCATTTCCAGCAGTGTCCCTCCCCTCAATGGAATTGGGACTTGTCGGTTCAAAGGAGACATGGTCATTGGTGGTGCTGTTCTGTGCTGTGCCTTGCCTCCAAGGTGAAGCCCGAGATTTCCACTGTGTAGACAGAGCAATTGAGGCACAGTATGATTGAAATTCTTCTCCAAGATGGCACAG